AGGGGAAAATCCATTCCTTCCCATTTCATCAAGTAATCCGTGAAACTGATCTAGCTTCCCCAACCTAAACTTTGCAGACATAATGATATTATGAGTTTAACATGTCTGGGAAGTGACCTGCTACTAACATCTGCGGATACACCCACTCAATCAACTTATATTGATAAACTAAGAGCATGTAAATTGCATTAAATGAATTCTTAAACGGCGTATAATTAAATGTCTTTGACTTAGCCCCTGTTTGATTTTCATTTTTGGGATAAAAATGAATTATGGAATAGTAGTTTTTTGGAGAATGTGTGGTTAAAAAGTAAGAAAAAGTTTTTGAAATTCGTGTATAATTATTTTATAGAAGAATGTGTGGTTGAAAATGAGTTTTAAAAAAAATGCATTCTTGAAAAAATGCTTTGTAAAGGCAGCTATCAACTACCTTTTAAGGAAAAAAAAGTGGGAAAAAACGAGCCGACTCGGCTCGGCCCGTTTTGGCTCGGTAAGGCCCGAGCCTTGATTTTTTGGCCAAGCTTTTGCTCGGCTTGGGCCAAAAAAAGCCCGTCTTCAAAAAGCCGGAGCCGAGCCCGAGCCTTGATTTTCGGCTCGCGAGCCGGCTCGGCTCGGCTCGTTGCCATCCCTATGTGTGGCCTTTTCTTGCAATAAATGTGATAGTCTGTGAATAGATCTATGTAAGTTGTTACTACTATGACCAGGCCTATGTTATCTATGATTCATTGTGATCAGGTTTGTTTTTATTGTGACGGGCTGTGATCAAATCCGTCTTAACCGTGACTGTATGCAATCAAGTTTGTGTTAACAGTGACATGTAACCACATCAACAGTGAATGTTTTGTAACAAAACCTGTTTATATTTAAAAGTTTGTGACCCATTAATATGTTAACTGTAACTCTCTGTGACCAAGTGTGTTAATTATGAGCTATTGTGACTAGTAATGTAATAAATGAGACATGTTGTCTAACTATAATTTGTTATCACAAATATACTATCACAAATTCTATATGACAAAAAAATAACCTAAATTAAATAACAATCATAATAAACACATGTCATCCACATTAATGTAACATCCATCATTCGTGGTATTAAAAAGGTTAAAATATTTATCTACATGTACGTAATGACCAATAATCAAATTACATACTAGTCACAAAGTACAAAAGGTCACAGTCACAAAAACACAATTTGTACATCATAACTATAAATTTAGTCTCAAATTACACGTTTTTATATGTCACAAATAATTTATTGATCACAACTTACCAAATTAATTTGTTACAACTTATTTATAGACTATCAAATTAATTTATCATAATTTATTTATTTGTTACAAAGACACAAGTTATAGGTCATAATTATAAATTTAGTCACAAATCGTATATTTTTCAGGTCACATTATTTATTGGTCACACTCATCCAATAATTGGTCACAATCATATCCACTCCCACGATCGGCACCATAAAAAAACAATGTTTTTATTTCACCACCGCCATGACCACTACTTGCAATGCTCCGCTTCAATCAACCACCACCGGACTTTATTTTCACCTCAAATCCGCCAACAGTTGTAATGCAACACCACCACAACCCCATTGGACTTTACAATTCCATGAAACTTTGAGCCAGAAGTAGAAATTAGCTATTTACATAAATTTTATTTATAACTTATTATCTGCTTCCAAAGATTATTGTTGCCAATTACTACCTAACAAGAAGTTTTCGATGCTTTGAAATTCAGTGTGCTGGTGAATGAAACTGTAATCCACAACAAAGTTAAATAAAATGTAAAATTGCCCATAATTTAACTTTTCTTCAGAAGCAAAAATGAATGTGCACAAGCAAAAATAAATCAAACCCAGAATTTGCAATTTCTTGCATTCTTTTTCTTGGTCATGGAGTTCCCATAATTAATCTTCAAGACAGTTAAAAATACAATAAGAAAAAAAGGTTGAACTCGTTAAATCATGGATTGAAAGAATATTAGCACCACGCTTGTCCACTATACACGGTCCACAAATAGCTTCCCCAAACCCCCCCTCCCCCCGATTGTCGAAGATTAGCTGCTACTACTTGCGTTCTCCATATTCATAAACCCTATCAATATAAAAAAAATTCTGAAACTCAACACTTCAAAACTCCAAAATGAGTCTCTTTGCAGCACTCCATATGAATACACTAGATTGCTGTAATTAATCACAAATTCAAACACGGCTAAAAGAGAATAGGTCACAATCACGAAAAACAAGGCCACATCAACAAAATTTAGGTCACAATCACCTATTCACATAATACCCAAATGTACCCATATACTGCATTTGGCATTATTATAATGCATTAAAAAAAAATTACTTAGTACAACAGGTTTTACCTTCTTCTTCCTCGTTGGAATTAGAAACATGTCCCCCCATCAACATCATTTTCCTTTTATGGGTTTATGAATGTTTGAATCGCAGGACTTGTTTCAAAGTAAACTGTGATTGTGTCCGAATTGGATTTTGGCCGAAGGTTGAAGACGTCGAAGATGGAGAATGGTTTCAATGGTGGTTAACATTTGAGCTGATTGTTAGAAACGCTTGGGTCTCATTTGTTTTCATTGGTTATGGATTCGTGGCCTTTGCTGGAGGAATTGTATTTGGGAGACCAATCGAAGGTACAGTTATATTTGGGAGGTGATTTCGGCAATGGTAAGTGGTGGGAAGTGGTGGATGGTGGTGGCGGCAACCGGGGCAAGCGGTCTACACTGTGTAGAGGTGGGTGAATTTTTAAGAGTTACAACATACTAACAGTGGGGATGGGGATGGGGATGAGTGAAAGATTAGATTAGATATTTTTCTTATTAACTTTGTATTAATTAATTTAATTTATCTTCATTATCACCTGATTTGTGAAATTAAACTATCTTATCTTTGAAATGTATAATTTGTAGGTAGGGCTTGAGTTAATTTTTCCTACTTTGAAATCCACGAGCTTGGCCCATACGAGAACCTATTCAAAAATCAATTGTGCTCCATTTACATAATTGTTTATATATACATGATGTGATAAAATATGATTGCGTCAGACTTTTTAAAAAAAATAAAAATTTTCACTCTCTTTTTAACACATCACCTGTATGTAAATTATTATGTAACTTCATTATGTACAAATACATTATTCTTGAAAAATAGAAGATGGTCAAAATAAAAGTTGGGAAAATTAGAGCAAACCATGTTTTTAAGTTTTCATTCACAAATCAGGTCATACATATAAATTTTCACACCTTAGATAATTAATGCAAAAACCCTAATTTAAATCTACTTTTTACAATTTCATTTTATATTTTCACGGATTTCATTTTATATTTTCACGGGATTCCAATAACTGGGGTAATCAGAAGTATAATTTTAAAATTTTTCCGATTCTGAGAATGAAAAATATAGTCGTTGTGGGCCTCATACAAAAGATAAAAATTCAAATTTGATAGCTTGATGTGATATATAACGATCATATTTTTCATTTAATGAGAAAATAATGAGAAACAAACGGAGGCTATAACTACCCTACCTCCAATTTCCTTATCGTCTTTACTGTGAATGTGATTCGGGGAGGGAAAGTTCATCCTTCTTGTTAAGAAATTTCTTCCCCCATTCTCATTCATTTTTACTTTTGCAACTATATTTTCTTCATTTTGAAAATTAATGCAATATATTTATATATTTTACATTTCCATCGTAATTATCCCGACCATAAAAATCTAATTACATCAAACAATTGAATACTTCACATTTGTGTGAAGAATAATTATATTTCACGTTACGTAAATTGTGTCATTATTTTTGAATTTCACTTGTCTAGATTACACACCATAAATTTGAAAGAATTTCGAGGATGAGACAGGCGGCGGAATATAGTCACATTTAACATAATTTTGAGGATGAAAAATACTTCAAACTTGACACATTTTGTACGTGTTCATTAAAACTTACTAGGAAAACGAAGTTGCAAAAACGTCACTATCACATCGAAGGGGGTATACACACAAATATAATTAAGAAAACAAAGACATAATAAAATGTAAAAGAGGTCAAACATAATTTTTACACGAATAGGAGATTACACAATGATGGTCACAAACCCTAACAGTTACATTCACTAGTTACATGGACAGTTGTACTATTAGATGTCACATCATTACTAAATCGTTAATTGTGTTTCACTTTCCTGTTCACAACATGATAAGGAAGACAAATCAATGAATATAGAAAGAAAATGGAAAAGGCCGTGTATACAGTGTTGTACACATACAGCATTCTCACAATTTTAGGGCTCACGATTAAAACACCTTTTGCACGTGAGAGGACTTTCAACTATAATGTCAAAATTGTTGTAGCATTGCTCAAAGAAAATTACTTTACTGAAATTTAGGATGGAATAGGTTGAGAGAAAATATATCTGCACATATCACATTTTTGTCCTTGTATATCCACCAATTTCGATTATATTTCTTATCTTATATAAATCTATTATTTTTTTAAACCATTGTGAATCGAGACATGACTTTTTGCAAACTTTCTCAAATTTTGATATTTGTGAAAACATAAACTTAAATGATGGTAGTTACGAATTTTTCCCAGGTTAGAAACTCCGACGTATGCTCAATTTGGAATAGCTGAATACAACTAATTTCGAGTGCGGCCTGTGGATAACCAAAGGAGATTTTTTGCAAGAAAACCAGTCAGAGTACGGAAGCCAACATGAGATCGAGAACTGGTGTGACAAATCTGCATATTAGTCAAGCAAAGTCCCAGTTATAGACACCATAAAAGCGAAGCTCTGTATAAGTATTGAAAATCAGTTGTTAAGTCATAGCATGCACACATAACATCTGCATGGTCTGACCTCGACCAGAAAGAACCGCACTATACAACGACGATGCAATCTGAACTGGCAAAAGTATTAAATCCCTAACCTTAAAGAAATAAAGCTAACTTCCTCAAATGCAAGGAATAGTAGAGGATGGTAAAGAATATTCATTAAAACTTTAAACTACTTTGCCCAATTGGCTAATCAAAGACTGATATGGAACTTGCTCTTTCCCATACAAAATGTCTTCATAAACAACAGTAATAACTTAAATGTGAAAAACCAGAGGATATCTCAAAGATGGCAAATATGCATTTCAACTGTCTAAAAGTCATGCTCAGTTTTTTTTTTTTTTTTTTTTTTCAAGAGCACCAAATCTACTAAATATATAAATTAAGAAGCAGCTCGATCTAAGTATAACTTGAACCTGGTTTCAACTTTAGATGGTTGGCAAGTTGCGCACTTGCAAGGCATCTTGCAGACACTTCACCGCCCCACCATAATTCAAAAAGCCCATATACCAAAATTCATGGTCATCAACAGATATAACCTGGATGTACTTTTCAGCTGAAGTTCTGCTTGATGAAGGATTTATGGCTTTGAGTTGATGTAATGGGATAACTACCTGTTCATAATATTTGTAACAGAGATATATCAGTAAACACTGCAAGATCATAAAAGGAATAAATAACTCGTACCACAAAGAAAAACAGGTAGCTTGGCAATTACAGATGTTAAAATTCACGAGTCAATGGTGAAAGAAATCATTACGTTCTCAAATATCTATTAGTCTAATGCTCAGGGTCTGATTGTGAGTACATCAACTGCATTCGTTTGTCTTTGTATTATTATAACAGATACTATAAAGCACGACAAGTGGATCCAAGAGGCTAATAAGTAAATAAACATATGTGAGCTGTTATAGAAACTATAGCAAAATAAGTAGACCACCAAGCTACCTCAAAAATGTCCCTAAAGAGTTCACACAAGAAACAGGAAAAGAATTGAGTTGGAAAAGAAGACAACTCGGTTGCTCCCTTCAAATTGGTTTTTAACAGGTCACTATAAATTGCCAAGATAAAAAAGTTTATACATAAAACTTAAAACCACCTGAAATTTAATGGAGAACCACCATTTTTCAAGACAACGTGTAATGTTTGATAGTTATTTGACTTTCCTATTCATTTCATTTGTCAAGAACAGATTCTATCCATCAGAAAATGTTAGGATATGAACCCGGAGTTGCATGTCCTTCTCGTATGCCTTCTCTAATTCTTGATCCCAATGAATTTGAGGTCAGCTAAAAGCATAAAATTAATACAATGTAATGATATTGAAAGGTAAGAAGCCTAAGTGTAAGAAGTTGAAAGGAACGATTTCTCCTAAATTTTACTATATTTATAGTAACTTTAGGACAACAAAGCATATTAGCTTTACATACTATGTAGTTAAAACGATGAACCAAATTCAAGATATCTAAAATTAGAAGTGAGATAGGCAAAGATTTCAAAATGAATAGTGGTTTCCAGAAAGTATTTGCGTCTAAACTTTTGAAAATCCTTTTATGACTTTGATTGTTTTGGGTACAATCAATCCTAATCCACAAATCCACTTTTAGGTACAATCAATCCCAATCCACAAGATCAACAAATCAAAGGAAAAAGAATCGCAACTCATTGCAAATTCTCTTATGTTAAGATATACTATATCTTAAAATGACTGGATGAGGATTTGGTAGCTCAAAAATAAATTATATGTCCCAATGAAAGAAAAAGGAACACAAACACGTAAAAAGCCTATTCTGGAGAGAAAATACTAAAGTACCTTATAATGGCTCCATTCAGTCTCGTCACCAGCTTTATATGAAAGTGGACTATCACTACAAAATGCAAGCTTAGCAGAAGAGACGTATAAAACACCCATTACTGGACCAGTGGATGTGGATAAGTAACATGCATAAGTCTTTTGCAGTTGCTCATCCGGAACTGTCTCAAATGTTTGTCGAAATATTTTCTCATAACCACCTTCAGCTAGAACCTTTGTTCCCTGTGCAATTCTTCCTAGGGCAGCATCAGCTAGACTGGGGCTCGTTTTCACTGTGTAATGAGGAAAAAAAAAAAAATGTCTCCCAATTCAGTTACTCCAAACAAATGGGGAAGTAAGAAAAGGTATGGGGGTTGTGGTTTGGCTGGTCTACTGCAAAACAGTATAATCGGTCTGAATGTAAAAGTATGAAGTGACTAACCTAAACCAAGCCAGAAAATTGCACAGTTACAGGAGAACAAAAATAAACTATATTAATTATGTGAAGGTTGGTTCCACCTTTTTTATGTCAGACAACAATATCCAACTACAAATGTCAGTATTAGTCAAAACACATTAGAAGATTTTCTGAGCAATAAATTAAGAACACGTATGTTTAATATATACTGCATAAAAATGAAATATCCAATAAACCAAAGAATATCTGTTATGAAAAGTCAACTACGGTCTACACGTATTCTCTGCATAGTATATCTTATCATCTAATCTTCCAAGATTATTGTCATCAATTGTAATTTACAAATCTACTGCACTTACCTAACTTGTTATAAAAGTTCGTCTCAGGCGGTATGTTCCTTCAACAGAATGTCAAAATAGCAATTAACAGATGAACATTAAAGTGAATAAATAGAGGAAAAAATAAAGAATCTGCGTATTAATAGAATATTCTCTATTCTCTCTCACGGTCATTCCACTCAATCTATTACAGAAATTTAAGTAACATCTTTCATTTTCAAGCTTGAACTCGAAAGGAAAATTGTGAACCTGTTTTGGGGAAGGCAATGTCATAAAAAGTCTACTCGCCACATTTTGTAGAAAGAAATAATCCTCGCCAACACAATTTCCTGCTCCAATGTGTGTGTGTGTGTGTGTGTGTGAGAGAGAGAGAGAGAGAGAGAGAGAGAGAGAGAGAGGGAGGGAGGGAGGGAGTGTCTGTTGTTGATTTAACAATATCTCAAGCTTTATTTTCTTTTGGTCCTGATATTTGAGGATTTAAATATTGTATTATAATTGTATTGCTAACGTTTGCCTTATTTTTCTAGGAATAACTGACTTTTGTTGATTTAACTTCCAATCCGTAGCTTGATTTCCAGAAAAATAAAAATTATATACACTACATATGCACCATTGATTGTCTGTCTTGATTTTATGCCGACAAATAGCCAATTTTCATTGGCTATTTACGTTTCAAGAAAATTCATAAAGTGGGAGAGTTTCTTTTAAATACTACTATTTAGAAAATAAAAACCACAATAGACCTAGAATAAACTTTGAAAACCACCATCTGGCTGTAAAAGGTCTTCAACTGTGAAGAGAAATACTAGTTAGAAAAGAAAAGGATATAATGCAGAACCATGCTGTTTAAAAGTATGTGGAACACATTAATAATGTAAATAATCATGTTAATCAAAAGATGATTGATAAACTATAACAAAAGGAGGCTCAAAATTTAATATTGGGCCTATGAGACCAATCTTCTCCCATTATTATGTGCTCATATTTTAATTTTTATAGTCATGTTGATCTTGTGGATATAATCTTATATTTGTCATTGATAACAAAAGATAATGTTGAATTGTCATCGTTCACTCAAAAAAGATATAATGACATATCTAGTAGGATGGCTTTCTGACCTAACTAATCACTTGAAATAACTTTATTTCAAAGAAGTCACATTAAAGTTTTTCTTTGAATATAACTACTAGTGGTATAATTTTGAGAGGAAGTGAAGAAAATAATATTTAGCTCACACAAATGTTGGCCATGTAATGGTCTGGTTTTCAGCTCCAGTAGAATTATTACAAAATTGGAACCAAGTATATCATTAATAGGGAAAACCTTGAAAAGGGAATGTTGGAACACAAGTATTTCTCCTTGCCTTATATTTACATACTTCAGGACGACAGATTGATTGCATCTGCTGGCTGAGGAATTGAGTCTCTACTTACTGCTGTTTGTTGGCTCGTGAATGAGGTGAGGGTAAAGAGATTCCCTCCCACAATAATGCAGGTGGTATGGGGCTGTAAAAAGGGTTAAGAGAGGTGGTGACGTACTGACATGCCAATGGGTAGGGGACAGTGAGAAAATCAGATGGTGATCTACATAAGTTTCATAACAAAAAACAAACTAACAAATGAAGCCTCATCTCCAATATACAATCTTGATCTAAATATTTTCATAACTTCACATAAATATATAACTTTTTTTTCTTATTTGTATCATGTACCATTGCACCATTTAACTGGGAAGAAATATATTAAATTACACTCAAACTGACACTGTCTGAAAGAGGAACCCCGACAGGAGACCGTGAAGCCACGAATCTCAGCTTCAATAGAACTCAACTGGCAGACTTGACTATGTCACGGTGATAGTGTAACTCAAAGAATAACAATAGATGCTATGCATATGTTTGTGTGCATAAATTAAGAGTAACAAGGAAATGGAATATTTCCAAGCCCAACATTAACCATGCACTATCAATGAGCTTTGCTTCTACCGTGACTCACCCCACACGCAGCCTCACTTTTCAACTCTCACCTCAACGAGAGCAACCAATCCGCAATTCCTCCCAGATCACTTTGTGCATGTAAGCTGTTTGTATATAATGAAATTTCATTTTCCAGAACTTCAAATATATACACGGTCACAAACTAAGTCCAACTCCATCTAATGCGAACTTTACACTGAAAGGGAAAGAAATATAGTGCGGTGGCATGCAAAAACTTCTTGTTCATGGAATTCATAACTGCACATGGAATCAAATGAACGCAAACATAAAACAACTAGAAAACTCACAGTGCTGCCATGTATTCCCAGCAAGATCTTCAGCCTGCCTGGTTGCTTCTCCGACTTTCTTCCCCCATTTCCCAAGTACATTCTTCACACTGTTCATCGTGTCTATGAACAAAAATTAAAAAATAATCACCAATTTCAGAATTCATCACCGTAAAACTCCACAACAAGCAATTCCATAAAAAAAAAAAAAACACCACTAACCGTATTTAGACACTCCAAATTTAGTGAAAGTTGAATATGAATAAATTATCAACTCAGCCGCCAAATAAAAATATAATTAAAAAGCATTACAACAGCTAGATAACACAAACACAGTAGAATCACAAAAAGAAAACGTTAACAAACCAATGACCTATAGGCTAAAGTTGCTGTAATTTCATAAAATCAGCACATTAAAGTTCAAAACTTGTGCGTGCAGCTGAGTATTCCTAGTAATTCAGGCATATAAATACACATCAATCTTTTCCCTGTTTAAGTTCATATATATAATAAAACAAGCCTACATTAAATCAAAACGGAAAAATCATATCTTTTTAATACGCATATCAATTTTCAATACGAAAAAAATAAATAAATCAATCAATCAATCAAATATGCAATTAAGGGTACTGAATGTACGCTTAAAAATATCTGACTTTTCAAATTGGCAGACGAGGAATTGCTGGAAGGTGCAGGCGAGTGATTGACATAGGGATTATCAGGTCCACGATCATAATCCCTCGGTATCGTCGATTCCATCACCAATTCTTGGCTCCATCTCACCGATTTCTTGGATTTCACACTCCCAGCCAATTTATTACTATCATTACTCCCATTGGCACCATTATCATTCTCTTCATTAATATTTATAGCAGTAATATTCGAATTATCGACTTGCTTCAATGCCTCCTCATTGACACCTCCGCCAGGCTTCGGATCCGGGTCGGGTTCCGGAGTCAGGATCGGATATTTAACCGACGCTTCTGTCGATCCGGCTTTCTTTTCTGCATGTTCTTCTTTACCAATGGGTTGCTCCATCAAAATTGAAAAACAAGAATCACCGTTCAAAAATTGTCGACCAAGTGTCAGAACGACCGGATATTGAAGTGCGACGGGGTTACCGGAAATGCAGGTGATAGTAGTCAGCTAAAGCGGTGAGGAGGTGACCGGTGAATTGAACACGGGAGGTCAAAATGAGAATATGATGTCTGCCTTGACCAGGCGAGTTGTGCATATCTTTGCCCAAGGCAACAAGGAGATTTTCATTTTCTGTTTTTTTTTTTTTTTTATTATTTGCCCCTAAAATAAAGAAATATAATCGTTATTTATCACATCAAATCACCATATTTGACTTTAGGCCACATTAATGTAAAAATAAAAATGAAAAATATAATCATTATGGATCTTACACAAGAAATAAAAAGTCAATTATAGTAGCTTAATGTAATGGATAACATTCATACTTTTTATTTTAGTGATCAAATAATGGAAAAAACAGGGCATATTTTTAGCCAAAAAAAAAAAAAAAGGGAGAATTGTGACCGTTGGAGAGCAAATTGCAACCACCATATTTGACTTCATCTCCCTTATGTGGACCCGACATTTGAAAAAATTTGTAAAATTTTTCTACTTTCTTCCTTGAAAATGTGCCCCCAAAAAAGGGCTAAATTTATACCTCCATCAAGCTTTATTCATTTTATTTTAAAATATTTTCAATTAATCACTGAATTTTGAAAATGATTCAATGTGATTGCACTTCATCACTTACTAAGAGGATGTTTGACATCTATTTTTATGGAAAAATGAATTTTAGAATAGTAAATTGATGAAAAATAAGGATAAGTTTTTGATTTACTTGTAATATGATTTTAATAAATAACGTGTGGTTAAAAAGAAGAGATATAAAAATATATTTTAATAAAAATGATAATCAAATGGGCCTTTAACATGTTTTATTAATCATTAAACTTATACTTTCATCGCACTTTTTATTCACTAAATTTTAAAATGCTTTAAAGTGTTAACTAAATTTTACTCACTGAATTCAACTATTCAAAAAATTAAAAATGTATAAAATATTATACACGAAGATGACACTATTATTCTTCTTGAATTACCTTATGACGACTGTAAAAATTATATTTTTTTAGTCTTGATTAATATTATTGACTCTAAATCGAAAATTTCACTATTTGATTGAGATATAAATTTATTTATTTTTTACTTGGGTCTAAGATCTCAATCGAGACAAATAAATAAATTTTTAATTTTATTTCTCAACGAAAAGAAAGATAATGATGTAAATTAAGATTTGTGTCAATTTGAAACGAGCATTCTTCTTTTCCCTTGAATATAATTTTTGATGTGTAGAAAAATTATACCTCCTTAATCAATATCGATATTCTTATCTTAGATTGAGAGTCTCGTTATCTAGTCGATATTTATTTTATTTTATTTCCTTGATTTAGTTCAAATCTCATTGAAAATATACTTTATTAAAAAAATATGTATATTATGAAATTTAGCGACCAGACATAAGCATTTGAAAGATCCGTAAGTAAAATGTAATTGAGGTATAAGTTTAGTGACTAATGAAACATGACAAGTGAGTAAAAGAGTACGTGTTAAATTTCAGCACCCATTAAAACTCATCAATTTAATTTAAATTTTTTTCTTTCCTATTTTCAATCACACAATTTTCAATAAAATAATATTACACGCAAATTGAAAATTTTTCATTCTTTTACAACCATCCATTAAAAAAAACACTATTCTCCATTATAAATCCAAATAATGGAAGCCAAACGGGAGCTCTGTGATCACTTTAAAGCATTTTTAAATTTCAATGATTAATGAAATATGATGGGTGAATGATGGAGTGCAACATGTTCAAGTTTAGTAATCTCTTGAAAGTACTTTAAAATTCAATAAATAAAGCATGACGGATGTATAAGTTGAAATACTAATGAAACATCTAACTCTTTCTCTAGAGTAGTCAACCTTCTTTTCTAAGAGATATACACAATTATTAGGAATTGTGGAATAAAGCTTTTAATAAAGGTTTTAGCAAAAAAATGATGAATGTCGATGAAATGTCATTTGGTTGTTAAACTATGTCAAATTCTGGCTCGACCTAGGTCAACGTCCAAATTACACTTGTACTTTAGGAGCCCACAATCAATCTCAATGTAAGATTGAGAAGTTGTTTCCCAATGACTTGTGCACAGATTGGATGAGTGGTATTAGGCTCCGTTTGGCTCCCATTTTTTGAAATTAAAATGAGCGGAATATTATTTTTTTTGAAAAATAAGTGGTTGAGAAAAAAAGAAGATTTTTCGATTTACGTGTAATATAATTTTATAAAAAATTGTGTGGTTGAAAATTGGAGAAAGAAAAATGAAATGGAATTTAATGGGGCTAAACGGGGACTAGGATAAGATAAGATTACATGTACAATTTCGATGTTCATAGTAGATTGTCCCTCTCGCAATGACAGGCCCACTCATAATAAATTATTTGCAGACTCCCTCCATGCCAGGGAATGTCAATGATTATATACATGAAAAGTGTACATGTAGCATTACTCATTAAGATAATGAGGATGATGCCCTAAATTTGTGCTTTAAAGAACAATATCGGGGTAAGACAATATTTAGCCTCGTTACCACCACATTCGTCCCTTGAACTTTTATCTTTTTTAAGTCGATGATTGGGTTAATTTTAATAACCATCGATAATTAGAATATTCATAAACCAAGAGCAACAGGAAGACAACTTAAGCTTGGGTATATGATGTATTCTATTGAACGGACTTGCGGTTATTATATCTTTCAATTCATTTGTGTAAAGACACGAGAACAACGTATGCATTACACAATAAGGGGCAAAGAAATACCTTGATTTTAATGTTATTTTTTCAAAGTTATTTCTAATACATTGGCATCTTTCAGTGTATTTTTTTTTTTCAAAAGAAAAATAACAATTAAGGGCCCGTTTTATTTGTGTTTCAATTTTCAGTTTTGAGTTCATTTTCTATATTTTGTTTTGAGGGCCTGTTTTAAGATTTCCAAAAAAACATTTGATTTGTCACTTGAAAACATTATTTTCAAAATAAAAAAAAAAACTAGAAAATAAGATTGATTTGAAATTTTGGAAATTTGTTTGATGACATTTTATTCCATTAAATTTGATTATCCAGTAAAAATAGAATAGTTTTATGTTGATATATTATCAAATATTATATAGATCTTAAAGTTTGTAAATCTTAAAATAAAAAAATTAAATTAATTTCAAAATATACAAAATAAAAATAAAAACTAATGACGTGGACTTAAAAATATTTTTGGTTGTGTTCATTAAAATATTTTTTTAAAAATCTTTATGTAAATAACTATTAAGAGTTAAAACTATTTTTATTTTTAATTTTTATAGTTATATTTTTTTAAAATATTTTGTATTTTTTTCAAATATTTTAATTTAATTTTTCAGAATTTTAGATTTCATTTTTTGAATTTTATTTTTGAATTTTATTTTTTGAATTTACTTCTTTGAATTTTATTTTTTTATAAATTTTATTTGTTAGAAATTTATATTTATATTTTTTAAAATTTTTAATTTTTAAAATTTTATTTAATATTTGTTTTCTATGTTTTGAGTGTTTTTAGAATATCTATTGAAAATACTCAAAACGTCAAAATGCGTTTTGAGTATTATATTATAAATTTATTCTTGTCTTTGAAAATATGTTTTCAATAATAGAAAACAAAATACTTTGTCGGTGTTTTGTAAAATTAAAAATTGAAAACTGTAAATCAAATACATCCTAAAATTTTCAATCTCGCATATTATGCTCATTGCTTTTGGTTTGACACTTTCGCTTTTTACTTGTTAAATTAATTTTTAACTCAAAGATATCCTATCCTATCCTATGATCCAATAAAAATTTTCTACCCAATTCTAAAAATTAATTTTGATCTCCATTCCGAAAAGGGCAGTGCATGCAGCTTTTGTGATTATAACATACTCTCTAACAGGCGTTACAATCAAAGATGGAGTCCAAATGAATGTTCGAAGAAAAAGTGCACTATAATTGTCTTTTTCTCAACTAGTGCAAATTTTCCAGTCACGAATGTGTCAGTCTAGGATGGAGTTGTTAGGGCGAATTAAGAGGCACGTGAAAAGATACACCTTTAACCCATTTGTTTTTAGGGAAATTGCAGCGACGGTTCCTAACCTTTTTAATTTTTATAGATTTTACCTTAATCTTCAATTTGTACCAACAACAGTCCCTAATCTTTGAAAAAATGTGCATCTGGAGTCCAAATGGGCAAGATCCGTCCACTTTTCTGTTAGTTGACCAAAAAAATTATTTTGACCATATTTTATCTATTTTTAAAGAGGCAAAATGGTAACTTTATATTGTTTTATTATAAAGAATTAAATATATTACATCAAAAATTAAAAAAAGAAAAAAAGTGGAAGACGTATTCTTCCACCCTACCCCACGAAAACTAAACCCACAGCCACAATCGCCTCCGCCTCCAAAGATCCACCACCTGTACTAATCACCACCACAACAGCATCCCTAAATCCATCATCTAATAATTACACAAATTTCTACAAAAAATCACATTCACAAAATACACACAATTGGAATTTGCTTTGCTGTTCTTGGGACCCATGGAATATGCAACATTCAAACGCTATTTCAAACCAGGACGATAGTACCTATGGTAGCTGTCATCCCTACCCAACATCCCCATATCATGGCGCACCTATTGACACCATGGGTTCCCACCAATTTCAATAGATTATGCAACCCACTCTTGCGAAAACCATTTTCTCTTATGATTCTTCTCTGACACCGTTTTGATGAAAGCCTTCAATTGGTGGGTTACCAAATTTTGGGGCTAAAAGGTTATTGGGTTACCAAAATCAAAGGGCTACCAAGATTGCACCATTTGGTTTTATAGTGGTCAGATTTTGTTGGGTTACAGTGGTCAAAAGATGATTCACTATTGGGGGATTTTTGTTAGATTTAGGTTTTGGAATAAGAAGAATAACTCTTCATTGATTTGAGATGCAATACATAGTGATATATATTACACGTGAGTTGGTTGAAAAATGGAAATAGAATTAATCTTAGAATGAAAATAAATAATATGTGAATAAAGGAAAGATTTCCGTAATTTCTATTAATACTCCCCCTCAAGTTGGAGCATGAAGG